GTCGCCACTCCTTGTCATGGCATGCGAAGCGGGGATATCCTGAACTTTACAGGTGTGCATGTGCTTGTACTGACCAGTTGGGGAGACATGCCTCCCACACAATTTGCACCTGAATGTTCTGTGCCCAGAGATTCGAAATGTTCCTCCACGACCGTCTTCCGGTACACCATTCTGGCACGTCTGCCCAGCTATTCTGGACAGCAAAGTTGCAATCCAACAATAAGCTTAATGCAAAAGAAGGTCAATTGGCATTGTCGCCAGCCAAGATTGCCTGACATCTGCAGCCCATTGCAGCTGTTGCCGTTCCAGTGCAGTTGAATGAGAAGAACGATTTCTCACATACATGTATCTCAAATACATTTCGTCACGCATCCAGGAATACGACAGCACCCCATTCGCTTCCATCCTTGCTCGCCATCTCCACAACGCGCCTTATGCACTAACGTTAACTGTCACACATATCGATTATTGTCAACATCTCTAGAAAATCAGAATTTCTTGCATTCTGGGCTGCATTGCAGCTGTGCATATGGAAGGGGTGCCACGGCTACATCATTTGCTGGATGAAACAGGAAGATGACGGCCAATGCCATGCCTCCGTAGTTTGTGTCTCTCTATCAAACAGCCTACTGATGCATGTTGGCATTGGCAGTGATGGTGACGAGGCGCACAGCCAGGGTGCCAATGCATTTTGATCTGAATTGCACATTGTTATACCAAGCACAGCTGCTACGAAATACAGATTGTGGCGCGAATGTTGGCAGCCGATGGAGCAGGGGTGCCAGAAACGATCGCTACCCCGGCTCGAAACAGTGCAGAGAATAGTGCAGGCGCGTCGGCCTGAGTGCAGGGGGCGCTGTGCCAACGATCATCAGCCTGGCAGGCCAGCGAGATCCCCACCGTTTTCAATATCCAGTTGACAGATAAGGGCAGGGGATAAGCTCCCTAAGGCTCATCCAGCCTTTCTGGCGTTGTTTTTGTAGGCGGTTCTACAGTACACCTCGGGTGCCACAAGTGCTACTGTGTCTAACAAGTGCCACGTCAAACGCAGCACCTCCAATCCAGTACGCGTCATTTTGAATTTTAAAGGCCAGTCCGCACTTCAGTCAAGCAGTCAATCAGCAGTGTCAACTGCCAATTCTTTTGACAGCAACCACCAGCAATTACTGCCAAGGTCCCGCACAAAGTTCTGCTCCTAGTACTTGGTGACACTGGCAATCAGATAGGAGAGTCTTAGGATACCCCGATACGTCAAACGCCTCGTGCTGATCTACGACAGCAACCGGAGCCTACAAATAGCAAGCCGTGGAGCCAATACCCACAAACGATCGGGAGCGCACTTTGACGATTGACACCATCCCAAAGGGCTGGGAGCACAGCGGAAGACTGTGCCGTTGCCCTGCCAGAAGAGGGCACACAAGCAAGGGACCGCCACAGGTAGGCGAGCGTTATGCGAATGGAACACAAATGCACTATGCACGACCGACTGCTTTACAAGTTGTTCAGACGACTCAGTTGGTGCCCCAGGTGCTGTCCATATCGGTGCTTTTGCGAATCCCATAAAACAAGCTCACTTGCCATGGTTGATCCCCTGGCCGTGGAGGAACGCAATCAGCTTCGGTTCACTTCGGCTTGCTTTGCAGCCACGTTGTGGGCATTTCCCGACCTCTTGTAGAGCCTCAGAGCAGTTGCGTCTTCGGCACCTGTGCTTGAGGCCTGCCTGCTCCTGGCATCTCTTTAGCTTTGTCCGTCCAGTCGGAATCGCCGAGCACCAAAGCCTTTATCTCATCAAGGAGCGCTGATGCTGTCGGTCGCAGCCCTGCATGTGCAGCAAGTGATGTCGAAACATCGTTGGGATGGGCGCAGACTGTGAGGAGGAGTATGGCATTGCATACAAGCAGTGTCTTTCTTGAGTGTTTCTAATGCATTCACCCACTTTGGAAAGAATGATAATATCATCTTTGTGCAATGCAATCATGTCCTACTTTTAGTTCCTGTTGTCTGCATTCCCAAACAGTGTTCTATAAAACCGTGGGTTTCATCAGCACACCGTTGAATATCCACAACAATTTAAGCAAGTACCATGGGGCACTTCAAACAAGTTCTTTTCGCCAAACCCGTTGCATAGTGTCTTATTTGAGTTTGCTTTCCTAAAAGCTTGTGGAACACCTGGCATTTTCAGTACCAAATGCCTGCCATGTTTCCACACAGGAGGACATGGACAAAGGTGGTGCTGAGGACATGAACAAAGGTGCTGCTGAGGACAGTGCTACTTCCCCCGTAAAGAGAGCAGGACCACCTCCACAGGCAGCCACTAGCGAGGATGAGGGCGACAATAAGGCCAGGAGAGTGAGGCAGTTGCGAAAGGACACTTCATGTATGAACCATGTCTGGCATACATGTCAGCACATGTGCCTTGGATACGATTTGTGCGTGGGGCTGGAGTTCTTAAGGGGCAAAGCAATGGGTCTGACAATGGTGTCTCCATAGTATCCAACTTGTGTGACGTTGTTGAGCTGCCACAACACAACATGTAATAATGAACTGATTCTAAGAGAACAACCCCTTCATTGTGTGCCTTTCCAGCCTTTCCAACAGTGTCAGTGCTTGTCAGTGCCCATGCAGAAATGACCAACAAAATTCATCCAAACTGCAAGACAGCTTGTGTGGGACCCACCTCTCACAAGATTAACTCAGCCACACAGGTGGGTTTCGCAGACGCAATCGCCAGAGGGGCGCAACGTCCAGCCGTGGCTGTGGTGATTGTAGCACGGGAGAACCTGCGAGCCATTCCCAGCACGTGACCCAAGCATCAGCCAACGGCGTCAAGCACACGCCCCTCTCCTTCCCCCTTAGCTCTCGCCACGCGCCCCCCCAGCGCAACCCTGCGTGCCGCTCACATCGTTCGGCCACATCGTCCAGGATCCCCTCCCCCGCCTGCGCAGTACAGGACCTGGATCCCTTGTGCCTTTTCTGCCCGTGCTTCCGCCCAGGAATTGTGAGCACTCCACGAAGCCTTCCCTCTCGCAACGCACCCCATTCCCAGCTCAACCCCGCGTTTCGCCCACAACGTTCGGCCACATGGTCCTGGATCTCCCTCCCCGCCTGCGCATCACAGGACCTGGATCCCCTACGCTTTTTCTCCCCGTGCTTGCGCCCGGGAATTGTGAGTACTCAACGGAGCCATCCCTCTCGCCACGCCCCCACACACACACACAGCGCACATCGCTCGGTCACATCGTCCGGGCTCCCTCCCCGCCTGCGCTGCACGGGACCTGCATCCTTTAGCTTTTTCTGCCCGTGCTTCCGCCCGGAAATTGTGAGCGCTCCGCGGAACCCGCCGCTGCCACTTGCGCACCTTGAAACACTTTAGCACACGGAACTCATCGCATGCGCACAGGAGGGTTCCTGCCGCACGGCGGCGCGCCTGCCGACTCTTCAATCCGACTCTTCAATCCCGTCTCTCCACCCGCCTTGCCGTGTGTTCACGAAGTCCGGCGGGGGGGGGGCCGCAAGGTAAATGTCGGGGGTTAAAGCTGGAGCGCGGCACCTGAACTGGGGTTCCGGCGTCGGACGTGGATCGGAGACGCATCGGGGGAGACAGAACTCGGAGTCCGACGTCGGATGCCATCGGAGCTGCATCGGAGGCGCTCCGATATCGGACTCCGAGAATTCTGTAACCACAGTGAGGGGCACAGACGAAGGCCGTGTGGTGGCTGCTCTTATCTTCTATTTTGCACTGCCCTTGACCTTTCTGTCATCAGAGAGGCTTTTCGCCAGCGTTGAAACTCTGCCAGCATCACTCGTCGCAATTGTTGCAAAGGAAGGAGACTCGCACACATAGACTCGCTTCCCACCTGGCTGACAACCCCAAAATCTTATTTGCCGTTGCAACTACGTGTGCCCAAGGTCCGCTTGTGTGCATGCACTCCGGAAGAAGGGAGAAAACTATTGGGGGGCTAAGTTCAGTGCACTGTCATTCTTGGGCAACATACGCAATCGGAGGTTTCACACCATCTGCACATGTGCACGATGCAGCCAACAAAGATGGTTGAGATTTCTTTTCGCCAGATGTTCCATGAACTTTGCAGGAAGTGGATGTCATATTACCACTGGTCTCCAAAGAAATCGTAAGTACACCAGCCAAAAGACATACATGTTCTTTCACAAAAAGAAATTTTGAACCCAGCTTGCAGCAAAGCCCGTTGCCAGGGATAGAACAAGCATCGTTCACATACCCCTGTGAGCCAACACCCTACCCAATACTCTCTGCTCGCCAACAGGCCACTTATGCTACACCTCAGTACATTTTTGCAAAACCTGCACAGGGTTTCGATCCACATCCTGACCACCAAACTATGGTACAAGAACAACCATCCCACCCTGTCGATCAATCACAGTATGCAAAGAAAGGCAGGGTATGAAGCTAACAGCTCCCTGCAGAGTCCCCAGAATAAGCACGCGTGGAAAAAGCCCCCTGGCACGCCCATAGTTTGTGCAAAGAAGGCAAAAGAAATTATGGCAAGTATACTAGAGCTGAAGAGCTGAGCTTGGGAATTCAATTGTTTCAAATGTGTGAAGACGAATCATGGACCTGTTGGTCACACCCTTGTTTCTACTTCCCTTCAGGTTATTCCCCCGACCCCCGGGCCCACCCCAAGAGCCTAGTCCATTCGCCAGCCCTCCCAGCTGGTCTCTCGCCCCTCCTCACTGCACAACTCGCATGAGGGACACTCCATGGTGGATTTGTGCCTGTCAATGCTCTGCAGTTGCCAGGGACACCGCTTCGCCACGCCAGGACAACAGCAGCCCAAGCACTGAACGCACCCCACGCGACTCGCCCGGCATGAACCAACTTGCACACGATTTTGCAAGATTCGGCACGAGCGGATCGGCACAAACTGCCCAACACCACCAAGCACCCAACTCGGCAGCGCGTCGGCCAAGCGCCCACAAAAGTTGCCAGCGACAACCACCACTGGCGCGCCCCCCTCTCCCCTTTATTGCGTGCCAAATTCGTTCGTGAAGTCGTCGTACACCTTCAGCATCTCCCTGTTCATGCTCGGCCGAATCACGCCCACCGCGTGCTCGAAGTCCGCCATCTCCACGTCCCGCACGCGCGCCGCGTCCACCCGCCGCACGTCCGCCCCCAGCTCCCGTATCGCCACCATGGATGCCTCCTTGCACAGGGCGGTCAGGTCGCTCCCCGAGTAGCCCTCAGTCATGCGCACCACGCGGTCGACCTCCCGACGACTCAGCGAGTGGGATTGGCCAGCAAAAAGGTGGCGGATGATCGCCGCGCGGGCCTCTGCGTCCGGCAGGGGGATGTATATCCGCTTGACCAGCCGTCGGCGAGCGGCATCATCTAGCTCATGAGGCCGGTTCGTCGCTCCCAGCACCACCACACGCTCGCTGTTGCTGGCCACGCCGTCAAATTGGACTAGAAATTCGGTCTTCAGGCGTCGCATTGCGTCGTTCTCGTTGGAGCTGCGGCTGGAGAGGATGGAGTCGATCTCGTCGATGAAGATGATGGCGGGCTGGTTCTCGTGGGCCACCTCGAAGAGCGTGCGCACGAGCTTCTCACCCTCGCCCACCCACTTGGAGGTCAGGGAGGAGGCGGAGATGTTGAAGAACGTGGCGTTGGCCTCGGCGGCCAGCGCCTTGGCGAGCAGGGTCTTCCCGTTGCCTGCGGAGTGGGTGAAGGCCGTCAGGAGCTCACCAGCGACCCAGACACTGCAAGGGGGACTGCTAACAGAGCAGGCATTGTCACTTTGGGATGTGAACAGCCCTGGACATCGCCTGAAGGAGTGCAAGGACAGTGCATTGCCAAAGTTCTGTGTGTTTGATATTATTACACACATTTCTATTCCTTCATACCCTTGGCAATTGTTGTGAGAGAGGACGTCCAAAGCAGACACCCAGGCAAACCAGCCTTGCCACCATTCACTTGCCTTCATATTCACCGAAGACAACACACAGCTCGTTGTGGGCAAGAGACCAACCACAAAAAAATAAGAATGCATGTGGACACATCTGGACTGCAACTGCAAGCGTGCCGGTGTGGGACCGCTTCACTGTCTAAGCAACAGCATGTCGTTGTTCAAGCGCCAACAGCTTGGGGGCACAAACCCTGCTTGCCAGCGAGTTTGCCTTTAAGGGTCTCAAGTACTCATTTTGCAGCTCCACGGACAATGGCCCAATTCCATTCCCTACACGCCACAGCAGGTGGGGCATTGTGCATTGTGGGGCTTACCTGGCGGTCCATACAGTAACAACCCCCTTGGAGGGCTGCGAAGGCCCTTAAAGAGGTCTGACCGCAAGGTGGGCAGAATAACAGACTCGTACAGGGCCTGCTTGGCTACCCGCAGCCCAGCGATGTCCTCCCAGCTTTCCTTGGGCTTCGCCACCAGAACCTCTGCCAGAATGATCTGACGGTATTTATCAGAGTCCTTCTTGACAGCCTCGACTGCAGCGACGGCCGCCTTCTTCACACCAGAAACCACAGCACCAGCTGCTGACAGCAGCAATCAGATGCAATTCAGTGAGTGTGTGGTGTAAATCCTGACTGCATATGTCCATCTGATACAAGTTGGGCACCATTGTGCCAAGCATCGTTTTGGTTTCCAACTGGCACAAGGAGGAATGCAGGTGTGTTGAACATCCATTGCAATTGCGTTTGTCGGTACATGGCACAAAGCTGACCTTGTACATTAAACACAATGACATTTTTTACAGCTGCTCCAAAGGACGTGGAATCAATGAATACAGCAAGGGAAAAAGGCTGTTGCAGAAACAACGATACGGAGTGGAAACAGTTGGAGTCAGGTGCAAGATTTCGCTGGGTGGGAAATCCCTCAAAATGGCAGTGCCATGTGCTGCTCTCTAGAACCTGGCAGCTGGCCCTGTTGCCCTGATAACAGCAGTTATCAAGGCACTAACAGACCATGACATGATTCCTATCCATATATGCACAGCATAAATCAACATCTGCCAACACAATGACACACTTTGGATGAGTGTGTCCTATTGGGGATGCCCAAGTTCCTTCCTGCCCTTCTGCACAGTAGCGCTGTCACATGGCAGTTCCACCTCATGAAAAAGATACCATGTTGAACATTCATTGCTACTTGTTGCACCACAAGAAACACAAAGCTAAGGACACATGCTGGGCCATGATGCCTTCCACCCCAATCAAACCTGCCCAAACGTTGACTTGTTCACCTGCTGAGGATGCCATCTGCTTTTGACTGTTCCTCCTGGGTGGCCCTGCTGCCTTGCTGGCTCCCTGCCATGGGGGGCGGGGCCCTGCGGTTTGGGGCCTTGCTGCAGGAGAACTGTGGGTTGTGGCATGAGCCACAGCTTGCGATGGCCTGGGACGTCTGCCACCTCTTCCTCCATTGGCTCTGCCTCTTCCAGCTGATGCAGCTCCAGATGCAAGTTGCCCTTTCCTGTGTCACAGTTTGGTGGAATATCTCAGCAAGCGCATGTACAGCAGCCATGCCAGGTTTCCAGCATTGGGTTGACTGCAGTGAAGTGACCAAAGCCCCACTACAACATTTTCTAAAAGAGAGCACTCATTCATGCACACAGATGAATGGGCTATGTCAGTTGACAAGTAGACTGAGCCAATTTAGCACAATGCCTGCTAACCTTGCACAAACCTTAGCATCCAAGCCTGCCAATGCTAGTCGAACCTTGACATTCCATTCAGAAGCTGCAGCAAGTGAGGAAACAAGAACATTGATCAAGTTCAACGAAGCTCAACCAAACTTTCAGGGTTGTTAGCAGACATCGTGAAATGCTGGACACAGACACTTGAGGACGATGGCAGGCACTGTTCTCATCTCCAAGGTGCAAGGCTCAAGCATTGTCACCTCACTGAACTAATGGTCCTTGTGCACTGCTTTGAACAGCAGGTGGGCAAGTTGTGCATTGCATCAACCACTTGTCAATATGTCAAACAGAACAATCTGTGTGTGGGCGTGTCCAGCCCCTCAACTTTTGGATGAGGTAATCAATGATTGTTGACTTGGATGACGTTTGTGGATCACAGTCCAGGTGGATTTCACATACAGATGGTTGCTCATGGACATTCAAGGCGATGAGAAGCAACAAACAGGTGCCCCCATAGTTTGATCCCTGAAGGCCTGTGCTTACCCCCTGCCCACGTTGAACGCCTGGGGACAACATCTTCTTATTTTCGCATCCCGGCAAAGGCACAATCACAAATCACGACTAGCACCTTGTACTTGCACCATCCAATTTTGCAGCCCGACCAGCAGTTGAGTGGTCTTTGCCACACGCACAAGCGTGTGTTGCATGCCAGTCTTGCTGCACCATCCATCCGCAAACATGAACAGGAGTTTCCAAAAATGCTGGACCTGCAGGAGTGTCAATTGGGTGTGGGCGTGTTCCTGTGTCTGTCAAAGCAACAGTCTTTATAGGGAAAGCAGCCCACCACAATAAACGGCCGCCTCTGCAGCGGGATCCCGCAATCACCGCACGATTCGTCCCACAGCTACCCCCCCACTACTTTCCTTCACCACACTTCGCTCGAGCACGCACCTGGCGGTGGCGGATTCCCGCCAATCCAGGAGTGCCTTCCTCCACTTGGCCACGTTGCTCGCGTGCGGCCCTAGTCCGGACGACACCACCCTCAGCGCCAGCCCCTCGTCGATCGCCTCTAGGGCCTTGTTGTAAAGCGGCAGCGCTCGCCCGGGGGCATCACGCACGTCCGCATCGTAAGCCTTCTCGAGGATGTCCTGCGCGGCGGCGGGGAGGAAAATCGACGTCAGGGGAAGCGCGCGAGCGCCCCTCGTCTCAGAATTGAGGAAAAGAGAGAAGATTAAAATAAACAGACTGAAGATTGGTATTTCCAGATTGCCGCGGCACGGTGGGGAGATTGGAGGGGCCAGCGAGGCGGGAGGGAGAGCGAGGGATGGATACAGCGGAAAGGAAGGCGGGAGGGCACCCGGAGACCCATTTACCCCCACGGCCATGGAAGGCATCAGTCACACTGGCCCAACGCCACTCGAACGAGCCCATCTGGGCGCTGCACCATCTGTCCCAAGGCCGGCGCCCAAACGGGCATCTGCCCCCAAGCTCAACACCGCCGAGCACCGCGCGCTGCCTGCCACCCTCCCCCCCCGCACAGACCCTCCTGGGGCGCCCCACCTTCGCCAAGTCGTGATATCCCTTCAGCTTCTGCTGCAGCTTGTGTTGGTCGGCAGCCCTGCTGGCCGCCTTGCCCGTGGGCCGGTCGGCCCGCTCCGCCGGCGCCCCCCTTGTCGTGGCGTCGCTGGCGCCCCCTTCGCCCTCAGGTGCAGGCCTTCCCAGCAGCCAGTTCAGGATCATGTGCGCAGTGGCTGCACTCCAGGGCTCGCTGTCTCTGAATGTGGGCGGGGCAGCTGGGGCGCTTTTGTAACGCGGGGTCCGCCTCGCGGTGCTTCTGGAGGAGCATCACTCTGACGGGGCGATCAATGACGCCATAGCGCCTTCCCACCAGGCTCGCCGTATATGCGGTTCGCATCGGTTTGTATCAGGAAATCCCAAATGCTTCCGTTGCTTGTTTATCTGGAGTTCGCTTGTGTTCCATTCTACCCGCGGTCATCTCTTGGAGGCGGACTGCCGGCCCGAGAGGCAACGGCCGTTGAGCTTCGTGTTCAGCGTGCCCCGAATTTGGGTGAATTTTGATGGCGAACGTGGTGATTTGCGGGGGCGAATACCCCCAGACGCCCTCTTCTGTCGGAGAAAGTGGCCAGCAACCTTTGTTTATGCTTTTGCCATGCACAAGTTGGAAGCAAAGTAACAAACCCTGTGTTTAAATGGTGGACTCCACGAACCTGAGACTGAGGACTTTCCAGATGTGATTGGTGTGACTGTGCTCACACTCCTTCGTCGCAGCTGACTGTCCAAAACCACAAATTTTTGTCCATCACGGGACCACAAAAGAATCCCTCCGTACCCCAAGAATGCAGACAACGATGCAACAAAGAGCCAAGAGTTGCAACCTTGAAAACGTGCTTTGCACGAGTGAATGCAATTGCAAGAATCACAAGCAAATCTGCACCAGGAGAAGTGCCTTTCATTACTGTCCCCACATTCAGTTCGTTCCACACTGTGTTGGGCTGCACAGTGCACGGTGATGCTCTGTGCACTGTCAGTTTGGCACAACAGGGCTCGAGAGCCAAGTGCAAGAGGGTGTTTTGGAGACTGTAGTGCTCACAGAAACACAGTAATTTGTCGTTCGGAAGACCATCTGCAGCAGAATCTCCCTTTGTTTCCACCACACCTGTGGCAGGCTCGCAGTTGAGCTGCGTGAGCAGACCCCTCAGGGCAAGTCTGTGCATTTCCCACTTCTGTTGTTGCCCCCACGCCCCTATCACATGCCAGGCAGCTCCAGGCACTCACGACAGCAAACAATGCCCAACCAAAACAGCATCTTGTAGGTGGTCAACAAGCCGCCAGGCCGTGGTATGCTTACCCAGCGCTGTTCATAGCATCTTGCAGCAGCCAGCATATCCCGAGAAAGACCCTCCCACACAAAGATGAATCACAGCCAGGCCAGCAAATTCGTCACATCATTCTTGTCCAAACCAAAGTGCAGAATCTCACCTACGCAGCCTCCATCAGCATGGCAGCATGTGCCACAGACTCTCTGCACAATGTTGTTCACCATGGAACGAAGGCTGAAATCGTAAGTCAGTGTTGTGGCACTGTAATTGACAAGGACACGATCAGCCAGAAAGTTACAGTGGAGAAAACCTAGTTAACTTGGCTGCAGGCACCCCAGAGGGATGCGAACAACAAGCACCCCGCTAGTCTGTCCATCTGGCAGCCACGCCCATGTCCACCATCAAACAACCCAGATTGTCTCAGGGGCCAACTTTGCAGGAAGCCAGCAGGTTTTCAGCTGCATGGCAGAGCACTGTACAGCACCCATTGGTGGATTGAAGTGTGGTTTCTGGTAGTGAGATATGTTTGTGGGACACACCAAATCCACACACTCTCTTCACCTGGCAAGGACAAGCTAGAGACACATGCAGCAAGCGGGCACTTTCCCTTCCCCCAGTGCCCACTCCAATCAGCAGCTGTCCAATCCAGCATCATCACAGGCACGACTTTCCCCATCTTCCTTTTACATAACCCGCCTGCATCCACGACCTATTTCCCCTCGCAACAACCTAAATCCCACAGGCAACATATCCATGCGCCTCCATCCACCTCTCCTTCATGCCCTCCTCCACATCACACAGGCGGCAACGCTCCCCTCCACCCGGCCACCCGGGCCCCTTCGGCGCGCCATCAGCACAACAGCCCCTGTCTCCTGAATTCTGCCACCATGGCGTCCACCACGTCGCTCCTCTGCATCAGCCCAGCCATTGCCGCCCTCACCCGCTCCCGCACCTGCTCCTCCCCGCCACCCACCTCTTCCTTCTTCACATTCCCCGAGAAAAACCTCTCCAGGCCGGTGCTTCCCATCACCCCGGCGTCCCCAAATCCGTTCCCCTCGCTGCGCGACCGGATTGGATGCAATCCACCCAGTGCCCCCTGGCCAAGCGGCAGGGCCCCGCCCTGGCCCATCCTGGGTTCCCCGCCGGCCATGGGCGGCGGCATGGGCAGCTGAAGCGGTGAGGGCGCTGCCACGCTCTCCCGGCCGCCGTTCTCGAAGGCCTCCGGCCGGCTGGACGGCCGCACGAAGGTGGAGGGGGTCAGCAAGGTTACGCCCGGGGCCGGGAACGATGCCCCGCCGGACGTCGCCGGCACCGCGGACGAAATCGCCTCTGGCGGGGCCTCCGCCGTCCCCCCGCCGCCCTGACGCGACCTGGACGCGGGGAAGGGCTCTTGAGGGCCGTCCTGGGGCGGCCGGTTGGCCTTCTGGAACAGCTGGAGGAGGTGCTCCTGGGCGGGGCCTGAGTTCTGGTGCTCCAGCCCCCTGCTGCCGGACTTGTCCCAAAAGCCGTCCTCAGGTCCTTCGCGAGGGCCGGGAGGTGGGACAGGCGCCGGCCTCTCCCTGGGCGCCTCCTCCTGGGGGGAAATCTTTGGCAGGCTGGCCACCACGCGGTGGAGCACGCCCATGAAATTGTTCCTGTCGGCCGTCTCGTAGAACCAAATCCCCGTCAGGCCCTGCGGCTTCCTGGTGTACAGGATGAAGCTCTCCATCTGCTCCACCGTCATCTCGCCGTCCACCTCCTCCATGTAATTGTCCGTCCCCTTGCCGTTCATCACGATGAACTTGAACCGCGGCGCGGTGCGCCTCTTCACCAGGAACAGCGTGCCCTCCACGTTCTTCCGCCCCCACTGGTGGGTGGCCATGTCGAACTCGTACAGCGCCACATGGCTGGCGGTGCACATTATCCCGGACACGTCCGGGTCCATGCGCTTGAGCACCGCGGTGTTGAGGTCCGCCCCGCTGTTCTTGTCGAGCGCGCTGGGCGCCATGGCCGCCCCGGAGGCCGCCTCCCGCGGGCCGCCGAGATCCGGACTGGGCCGCGACTGGGACCGGAGGCGACTCCGGGGCCCCTCCTTGGGGGTGCGGGCCAGGGTTCGAGGCCGCAAGGGTTGGGGCGCAGGGGGTGGTGTGGGATGGGGGAGGGTGGAGGGGCAGTTAAGCGCCAACTGAATCATTTGTCAGTCAGGCGATCTGGTCAGGCGGACGAGGACCTATAGTTTGCCGCCAATGCCGCGACGGCGGGAAAATGAAATGGTGTTCCAAAACGCCGCCCATTGAGAGAATTCTGTCTTGTTCGCGTGAGCCGCCCATGTTACGATGATGGAGCAGGAACACGTCTTCGTCGACCGTAGGCAGCAATTTGGTGCTTAAGAAACCAGCACCCTGCCCCGTGTCGACGTGGATCGTGTACCACCACAATCGCTCGGTGCACATGCCTTTAGATATTATTGTATATCTGCCCAGCGCCATTACGGCGCCATTGCTGGGTAGCGCACCACTTTTCGCAGCTGTACGCTCCTTTACGGCGTTCTAGCATGCCATGTGGTCATGATTCATGGCACCATGCGCATCTACGGCAAAGAATCGTATGTAGTTGTGCGTCGACCCTATCACAAGTCGCGCAGCGTTTTTCAAAACATTATGGTGACGATGCACTTTTCAGCGACCCACACAACTTGTTTGGCCAGTTGCACAAACGCTGCTTCAGTTTTCATCAGAGCAAGCAGCAAGAAAACCCTAGGCACAGGGGGATGCCTACAGCATGCCGCAAGGTGCCATTGATACCAACTGCTGGGTAGGGGCGCCTACCCTCTTTTATCCCGGACCCACCTCGCCGGGAACCTGATGGCGTACGGGCCATCAAGCGAGACCACCCCTAACTACTACCCATATAGTATATCCTGGTTAGGGGGTTTTCATGAAGGACGTGGGCAGAGTGTCCGCTACACTGGGCCAGCAATAAGTCCCAAATGCCACATTAGGCCTGTGCATAATATTTTGACCCTTTAGGGAGGTGGGATGTCCCCAACCCAGTATACCTTTATAGAAATAGTTGATTATGTGGTTACTGAGCTTGTATTACGTTTTTAGCTAGGTGTTAGGACTATGCTCTGCAACATGCCTAATGCCATTCAGATTGAAGTGCTTTGAGCTGAAGAAAAATAGTGGTTTTTACATCCAATATTCTTATCTACAAAGCCCTTATTAAAACTTTTTCTTCAACTTATTGGCCAGAATACTATCTAAATTAAATTACAATGAACAAAATTGTTTTATGCCAACTAACCTGCCAACCACCATCAAGGGCTGTTATATAGAAGCACAGGATTAACTTGCACCTCCACACCCTCCATAGCCTCTCAAGCCTCTACTACCACCATCACCACTGCCTCGACCATAACCCACTGGCCTCAACCATTATGGCCTCTGCTAGATTGTCCTTACAGAAATGGTGGAACACGTCCTCTTGCTAGGATGCTTGTACCATTCAGCACGTCAATGAACAATGTTGCAATTTGCCCATACGAAGTTATGGTGCGTCCTCCCTCATAATGGGACTCCTTTTGTGCCCAACGTAGTACGTGCTGAAGTGCAACACAGATATGCAAAACATACATATTGTTGCGGCCCCGTCGGTAGCTGCTGGTTTCCGGAGGCACTGGGGTCACCCTGCCCTGGAGCTGGGCTATTGGAGGTCAGCCAGCCTCTCCACCTCGGATGGTGGGTATAATCGGGGCAGTCGGTTGTGAGGTCACATGGTGGGCCCAATGCTCGACGGGGATGGATCCCTGGGGCCTGCTGTCGGCAAGAGGTGGCGGCGCAATGAGACGGTGGTTCGCTGGATCGCGGGAAGCCAGAGAGTGGGCCACGAATGCAGTTACACAATTCACTGCATGCGTGCACATTTATTGCATGTGCGATGCCCAATTGCATAACCATCATAGTCATATGAAGACAAGACAACACAGTGCGCGTCCACGTACATTGTCACCATCCACTGTTCACCCACAATCAACCAATTGTCCTCCAATTCCAAGCGTCTAACACCCTGGTATACGACTAATGCTATGGTGGGCGCCTTCCTGCTAAGGTCATGGACCTACCTCGCCATGGCACGTGAGTCACCATGACTCACGCCCGACCACCCGTTACAAGACGGTGTGAAATGTATATTTATATTAATATACCGTATGGGTATTGAAACCCATTAAGGTATTATAAATGATATTGATTTCTATTATTGGAACTCTAGTTTACTAACAACCGTCCCCTTGTCACTGATCAAGGGTGAGTGGCTTCCCTAGACTATGTATGTAGTCTCAAGCTATGTAAAGTACTAGAATATATAAATGTATACATTAAACCATCTTGTAACGGATGGTCCGGCATGAGTCATGGTGACTCACATGCCATGGCGAGGTGGGTCCATGGTCTTAGCGGGAAGGCGCCCACCGTAGCATTAGTCGTGTATCATTTGGTTTCGGAGCCAGGCCCCCAAGGCCTGGCCGTTCCACCTGCGCGCTCGCGCGACACACCGTGAAAGCAAGCCGGCCGCCGAGCCCCGAGGCCCGGCGGGCTGAAGCCCGGGCATCCCCGCGGGTGTCCAAGGAAATTCCGGGGCCATCCGGCCCCGATGCGCCCTCTCCCGGCCAAAATGGTGGGGAGAGCGGCGAGGTGCCATTCCACACGGAAGGCACCAAAGTCGAGAGTGGATCGCTGCCTTCCGAAGCCGCAGAGCTGCGCTACCAGCTCGCCGATCTGGCAAGCATCTTGGCGGATATGAACGCCCAGCTCCAGCGGATGGAGGAGGCAGCAAAAGGAGGAACCCGCCGGGAGCAACGCCGGCGCGATCCCTCCGGATCGTCGGCTGCAGGCAGAGGCAGGAGGGCGCCAAAGGCACTGAGGAAAAGCCGCTCGGAGGCGGACCTTGCGGACCCGGAGGACAGCGGACCGGAGAGAGAACCCGGGGAGATCGAGGCGGAAGAAAAGGGTGGCATCGGACAGCCGGCCCCGGTTCAAGGAATGACGGGAAAAGGTGAAGCCTTCTGCAAAGGGAGGCGCGATCTGGCACCAATGCCCACTGTAAGGGAGGCCACTCCAACGGCCTTGCGGCCCACCAAAAGGGCGGCCAAAATAGCCGAGCAAGTGGCAGGTACCGAGCCCCACGAAGGGCCATTGTCCGCCGCTTCAATTAACCAGGCCGTCGCCATCGGAACGGCCATAACCATGGCGATTCGAGCAAATCAACACCCAGAATGCAAGTTGTGGACCTATTTGGCACACAAGGAGATGGTGATGGGATTGACGCTAAAATGGCCGACGGAATGGGAGTTCAAGACTTTGAGGAGACGGGCCATGCCGCCGCGCCGGAATGGGCCATGGAATGGCCAGAATGGAACGCGCCTCCGGCCCTGATTCAAGGGGTCCCAGAGGGTGCCGCTTGGTACCCGGGAGCGCAGGGTCCCCAGGAGGCCTACGCAACCTACCCGGGCTGGCCCGTCCCCGGCAATCCCGGGCATTTCCCAGCGGGTCCGGGGCCCGCGGAATGGAACCCGGCGCCGGCTCCGCCCATGGCGCCCGGTTTGCTGGCAAATCCCCCGGCCATGGCATAGCCCGGCGTGCCACCAACGGCATCTGTGCCTCCGGGAGGACTGTAGGGAACCGTGATCCCAGGGTCGGCCATCGGGATGGGGCTGATCCTTGCACCCACAGCTCGGGGCACCGCCTCCGACTGCGCAGACTACGCAGTCAATGCAGTTTCCACACGCGCCCCCTATGCAGTACTACGCAGGGGTGAACCCGACCCCGCCAGCGGGTTGGTGGTAAGCTAGGAACCCCGTGAGTTACCATGGGGCGCTGCTGCAAGGCGGCCACCAGCAGGTTAGTCAACTTTCAGAAGATTTTGAAAACCGGTCACTAATTAATTCAAATGTTTCGAATATAATCAATTCTTCTATGCCTCTAGTACCCCATGGGGGATAGTTGGCTGACAATTCTAGGTTATCTAGTGTGCCTATGGGGGAATACACAATAATCCCCAGTACTCAGCCCATAGATAGATTGGGTGGCCAGTCAGTCCACCACCACCTAGTAGGTGGTCAAATTACCCACCAAACTCAAGGTGGCAACGGCACTATTATACCCAGCACCTCAGTAAAGCAGAGGGTTGGTGAAGGACCCACAAAAATAATTAATGTGGGTCCTAAGCCTCCAAAGTGGACTGACAAAACGCCATTTTTGGCATTTAGAATGGAGTTAGTACTCTATTTCAAGGCCATTGGCCTGGCAAAAGAGCAGTGGGGCCAAGTAGGCCTTACTTACCTGGACGTAGCCCCCAGGAATACACTACTAGCCAAAATAGCTACTGACTGAAAGGTCGTGACTATCCTTGAGGTGATGTCGGAAATGGACATCTCTTGGGAGGACTTTAGCACTGGCATGGACCAATTCTTCGGGCAGAAGTGCACCGAAGATGAAATCCGCCAGGCAATTGAAAAACATACGGCCCCATATACATCAGGACCTGACACTCTAAGTAATATACAAATACTCGATCAGCTATATGCGCTATGCTGCGAACCAATAGGCAATGCCCAGAAAATCTTCTAGTTGAGGAGAGGGCTGCGCCATGACCTGTACAGAGAAACTCTCCTGACAAAGGAGGGGCTCCCTTGGTCTGACTACAATGCACTTAGGGCGTACCTATACCAGATTGGTCCCACATACGATACGCACTGGGCCAGTCGCCAAGCATAGGGTACTACTGGGTCTAAGAACCCATGGCACATGGGCACAAAATGCAGCCCTGACTTGCCAATTAGAAAAACCGCTTTATTGCAATTCAAGAAAGACGGTAAGCCTAACGTGGGGCGGGATCCACAGAGATCAGTACGCCCATCTCAGTGGGGATGCGCACAGTACCAGGCTGTCCCATGGGGTGGCCCACCACCCCGTCAGCCACCAGCAGGCATGCCGGACGCATCCGGCT